TGTGTGCGCCCTCGATTCCACGAAACTTATCTCGCTCAACTTATTGTCATCAATGACTTCATTGCGTTAGCTAGTTTGTTTATTTCTACGCATGAGCTACTAGATTTTTGTCCTTTCATCAAAACCCTTCCATCAGGCAATGTATTTGTATAAAAGACTTATAGCAACAACAACTACTAGAATCAGATTATGCAGAATGCAGTTAGTCATGACGCAAACCGTGCAAAATCAAGAGTCGAGAGAGCACACGACTTCAAAATGAGTGAAGTAACATTTTCACCGCTAAAAATTAAAAGAGAAAAAAGACTACAAACTCTGAAGGAATACTCTCGGAGAATACGAACGAGCAGCAAATATGGAAATACGTTGATAAAGAGAGTGTGCATGAGTGTATTCTCACTGCGACTGCAGCGGCGTACGCTGCGTGCTGCGGCGCACGCGGCAGGCTGCCGCGTCTAGCGGTGTACTATGTAGGAACCCGTATGCCGCTATCACAGATCAGCTTTGTTGAACAATGACTGCTATTCTATTGAGCTTGATTAAGAGCCGGCCATGTCAGGTCCACTGCCGTCTGGCTGTTCGCCAATTGAAAGCCCTCGGTTGGACATATATTAAGTTCAACCAAAAGTTCTGTCGCACTCATAATTGTAACTTCTTCCTGTCCCGATGATCTTGCATGGCAAAAATACACTAGAAAGATAATACATGTATTTCCTAACGACAACTTGACGGCAGTGTCCGGGCAAAAAGTCGATTTTGAGATTTTTATGCTTACCGGGCCTACTCGCTATACTGAATTCAAAAATCTACACTGGAGAGCGCAACGTCTGAGCGATGTTCTCCCCACTGTATATTCTATATTCACGCTCCCAGCTTCCGAAGCGATCTTGCCGGTTCCGATTTCAAGTCACGCGTTCGCACTTGGCCGGTGGTGATGTCAGGACGGCTAGCGTAACTGAGAAGATCGCTCCAGAAGCTGGGAAAGTAAATTCACATTGAGAAAGACCTGCCCATTTCTAACTTCCTTCCTGCTTTATAGCCCTTTTCGCCGTTTTCGCGCTCTCCAGTGTAGATTTTCGGATCCAGCATAGCGAATAGGCCCGGATAAGCACAAAATCTCAAAATCGACTGCTTGCACGGACGCTGCCTTTAATCGCTCTTTCATGCTCCAATCGCAGAGATAAAAATGGGAAAAGTAAATTGTTTCAGATGGTGATTTGGCAAGCCCGCTAAAAATCCGAAAACTGTGCAAAAAAATCTGAAAGAGCCGATGTCACAGGTTCTTAACCTGCTCTTCCTAGCTGAGCAAAATCTGCGCTGATCGAGCTTTCTTTAAAAAGTTGTGATTTTTGATTGAAAACTCCAAAAAGCAATTTTTTGATGAGATTAATTTCTATCGCATTTTCCTCAACATTTCTTCGGGAACTCAATATGAAGCGACAGACACTTATTTACTATGTAGGGCCACTGATAACATTTATCAGTTTTGCTGCACCAATATTCTGAAGATCGTGCAGTTTGGTGCTTTTAGGTTTTATGCGATTTATTCAGAACTCATTACTTTTGAAAAGTTATCCAGCAAAGTTCTAAATGCGAAGTTGGAATAAACAGAAAATCTGCCTTAGTTTAGAAAAGTATGGCCCTATCTGAGAGCTGTCGACACCCTTCAAAGCAAAAATCTGAAATAAAGGTCCCAAAAAATCAGCAAAGCTCAGACATGGCAGAACTGAAAAGTCGTAAGCTATGGTATCTCCTCGCTCGTTTCAAAAGTCGTAAGTGAACAGAACTGTTGGGAAAAAAAATTCTCCATTAGATAGAGCTCAAAATATTTGTTTGCCTTTTCTTGACTGAATTTGCGGATCGGTGCAAAAGACTGACAAAAATAGCAGCGACCTAATTTCTACTAACTTGCTGCAAAGCTTCTCACCGTTTTTGTTGTTGTTTTTATTTTAATGGGATAGTAATTGTGGCATTAGAAGCGCTTTTTTTGCTCTTTCCGATGCTTACTAATCCATAAAATCCCCAGTCTAGCGAGAATGCAAGCCTGTATCATACCATTGATAGTCTAGAGATGAGACGCCAATGGAGTTTGTCTGAAGATGAAATAAGATGCAAAACAGTTAGCAAAAGCAACTTTCAACACATTCACGACCATACGCCCCACCGCCGAATCGTATGCTTAAGGCACCCGCCATACGTGATCCGCTTAATCCACTTGATCCGCTTGATCCGCTTCATCATTGGTCAGTTCAGTGAACTAACCAATAGTGAAGCGGATGAAGTGGATCAAGCGGATCAAGCGGAGAACCGCTTCGCTATTGCTCAATCCACTGAATCGACCAATGACGAAGCGGATCAAGCGGATCAAGTATGGCGGGTGCCAAACTTTTGATTTGCTGATTCACGATAAAGCTGATTTCAGGCCAAGGATCCAATAGTCAGAACAATTTCGCAATCTTGATATTGCGGAATATGCTCTGATCAGAAATGGCAGTTATCGAAAAATAATCCGGTCGTGAATGTGTTAAAAACCGGACAAACGCTACAATGGGTTTGAAACATTCATTTGGTGGCATTCAGGGCCCGGCACCGATGGTTTGGGGTCAAACTGGACTTCGCTTTTGGAGATAGAAGCAACGGGGGCATCGTTTTTATGAGGTCCTGGAGGAAGCGTCAAAAAAAAACACGACGAACATGTCAGGTTTCACGAGTTGAAGGTGTTCTTTCGCAAGCGCGCGAATTTCGAATGCAAGATTCAAACAAACAAATGGCTTGTTTACAGCGCACAAACAATCAAATGGCTCCGAATTTGGGCTATGTGTATACAATATTACTCCAAACTATGTTATGTAAAAAGTTTCCAAAACTTATGTGTCCTAATATCCGTTCTCGGATTTGTTGGTTTCTAGACCAACTATCAAACCAACTGGGTTGGTTCGGAGCATAAATATCGGAGAGTTCACATAAGTTTTGGACCTTTTTGATTTGGACGATTAGAACGGTCAAAAATCTATCATATAGTAAAGAGAGCGAATCAAACCGTTGCCTGTCCCCTTTTTTTGAGTCAAAAGTAGTATAATTCTACGCATTGATAGATATTGCGCTCCAATCACTTGCGGTGTCCTTTGAAATATGTGGCGAAAATGCATCGCAGGATTGTTGAGGCTACAGATTTGGTTGGCCTAAGAGATTTTCGACATTTCCAGCATCAAAATGGTACTATACCTGATGGCAGAGCCTTTAATCTACTCGAAATGTTTTCTTTTTGCTTTTTTATTATATTACATACCTCAAAATGCGCTTTCTTCGCTTTTTGGTTCCTTTTTTTTTTGAATAAGGGTTTCTCTACTGATTTTCACATCGAGAGGACTTCGTAAATTTTCGCGAAGTCAGTGGGACTTCGTTTTCTAAAAACCTCCAAACCAACGCGTGCCGGGCCCTGGTGGCATTCCGAACTGCAGGTTTTCGTTCCAGGACCCGGCTAGCCACAGTTTGTGCGGTAGAGGAGGAAAGATTAGTGTTTCACTGGTAATAATCTCAAAAGAACCATCTTAGTGTGTACTAAGGAAAAAAACGAAAAAATTGATGACCTTCAAGGAATTTCTTTAACGAGTGCTCTAAATCTTTCAGACGAGGTGTCAGTTTTATCCTTCTCATCACTCTGAGCATGACGCCCAGCATGAAAGAAATGGTTGTTAAATCACTCTAATAATAAGCTATGAACGACACTCATTTGAAAACTTTCGGACAGACTTACTGCTAGAATCGAAAAAAGTAAGCTCGGCGACAACCACGCACGAGAAAACCGCTTGAAGAGAACTCAAAAAACAAGTGTTTCAAAAACACGGTTTTTGCCAGGTTTCTCGTTTGAATCAAAAAACAGGGATTAGCGATGTTGTCATTGTGAAAGTACAAATAAAGAGTAACACTATGACGTATAGTTGATAGAAGTTACTGTAGAACATTAAAGAAAAGGGTATCGCAGCCAAATGCCTCGTGCTCAGCGGGATAGCGCGCAACACGTGGAAGCGCATTCGAATAGAGAATGAATTGTATGAGTGAGACCTCAGGCCATGGTAATACGATTTTACCCAAGCATTTTCGTAAGAAAATCCTTGACAATACACCTCTTCCCCTTTCACCTAAGTCAAGCATTGTATCGATAGCGAGGGTGTAATGTAGCATACGCACAAATTCGCTTTCGTGTAAAAGTCGTCTTGCTTGTTAATGCCGAAAACCAATTATCCACAAAGATGTTCAACAAGCAATAACTTTCTGCAAGCAGATATAGTCGATAGCTAGACGCCAGATTAAACATAAAGCATGTACTAAAGCGAACCAACAAGCGTTTCTTTTCTATGTGGCTCAGAAAATCTTTCGGCACCGGAGAGCTTTTTTCGTTATAAAACTTTTTTGAAGTTTCTACCTACCTCTGGTTACTTGGGCCTGTCAGTTCGTATACGGCATGACAAAAGCGGCATTCAATAAGTTTGAAAAGGAAACAGCGTGCAATTATTGAGTTCTTGCTTTTTCTTCATAGTGTTTCTTGCAAGTATTAGTATTCTTCCCATTGCCAAGAAATTGCTTACTCCAAAAAGACTGCGATTGTCGAAAAATAATTTCAAAAGTCATTACTTTGAAAACCGCAGTGGGGAAGTAATGCAGCAAGCTAATATGTAAATGGATATAGGCTAAAAAACACGAATTTCCTCACATGTCGATCGCCATAGCAGTAACAAAATTTGTAAGATCGTAAAAAAAATGCTTGCCAGTTCAAGCAGAGCTGTCTTCATCGCATTTCTAAACCTGAAAAGCGTGGTAACAGGCAAAACCATTTACATTCCCTCCTAGACACAACAAAACTCAAAAAATCCGTAAAAAATCATATGTCTGAACAATGTTTGCAAACTCATCTATTGATCGAAGTGCTTTTGATAAATTATGACTTCCTTTTTGATTGAAAGAGAGTCCAGAACTGGGGTGATTTTTTTTTGAAAATTGATAAAATTTGCAATATATTCTTTATAGAATGAAAGCAATTCTCCTGCTTTTCATCTCTGCGACGTCTATAAAGACGCAAGAGTTATGGAATCAATACCCAGAATCAAACGGAAAATACATCGTTCCATATAAGTTCACCGGCGCCTACGGTAACTTCGTTTACTTGATTTACTTGAATTCAAGCGTAATGGTAACAGAAAAAAGCTCGTACTACTGTTTCATGCCACTGCACAAAATGTTTCGTTTCAGTACTAGGTCAAGCAAATTTACCCTTTTCTTGCTGAATCTTGCTGAACAGCCATATTTATTTTATTAAAGATCCTGAAGAACGATCGATGATCGAGACTGCTATGCGAAAGATTGCTGACAACACTTGTGTTGAATTTAGACCTCGCACCAACGAAGAAGAATTCGTAGAGATAGTCAACCAGAGAGACGGATCGTACGTTGCTTTTCAGCTGTGATTATTCTCAAGTTCAACGTTTCCAAAGATTGTTAGAATGCGGTAGCCTTGCATGTAAAGGGCATGTATAAGACCATGCAGCATAATTATCTGAAGGAGCTTCCGTTGTTCATTCAAAAATCATATTTACAATATACTTTCTAGATGCAGTGCAAATGTGGGAAGAAGTGGGGAAAACAGGATATATCTCGAGTCGAACGAAAATGTAAAGTGAGCGTGACTATTCCAAGCATTTCAAGCGAAGTATTTATACTTTTTCAAACCCCTTATATCTTAGATGTATAGACTCTAAAATTGTAATGGTGATGCTTCTGCATAGTTTGGGACTGTGGGGCGAGCATCAGCGAGCAGATAGGGATAAGTACATCAAGATACATTTCGAAAATATCGCAGGTTGTTTCATTTAGACAACAAAGCTAGGCTAGATAGTCCGTTTTAGATCAAAGAGAGGGTTTCTTCGTAGCAGAGATCGGTTCAACGAAGAAGTATCTCAGCGTTCCTTACGACTATTTGTCCATTATGCATAATTCAAAAGATGCTTACGCAAGGCCAGGCACAGTTGCCATCGAGACTCTCGATCCTGCTTATCAGGTAGCTTTCACATTTGATTTTTTCTAGCAGCAAAAAACAAGAATTTTGTTCAGGATCAGATTGGTACGGCAACGGAACCCTCACTTCGGGATTATGAAAAGATCAATCTCCTCTACCAGTGCAACAATCTGAAGATCACACCTGGCACCGTTTCGTTTTACGCATAAAGCATGGAAATCGACTAAGTTGCAAACCTATTATTTGCCAAGAAACCTCTCAAAAGCTGGAAGGTTTTTTTATCACAAATGCTTGCAGTAAAGATTTCATAGGTAATTCGGGCCACAGTTACTAGCCACTAAAATTATTTTTGTCAAAAATTGAGTTGCAACGCATGTTCTAGCCTGTTATTGAAGTTACGGCTTTATACGCCACCAGACTGCGATCTTTTAAATCATGGCACTGGAGCTCAATCGAACACACAGCCGACAAGCTAGAGGACAGAACCAGAAGAAAAGCGCTTTTTTCTCATATAGTACGAGCGAAAAGGGTTGACTGTTTGCAGCCAGGGCCCGGCACAGCGGGAACTGTGTCAAGCTGGTTATCTTTTTCAAGGGAGACAGTGAAGACGACATCGTTTTTGTAATGTGTATGGCTCAGTCCCCCCCCCTTCCAGAATACGTTATGTTAATCTGGACACTGCCTTGCCGATCGAGAAACAACTCAAGAATCTCCATGAGCAAATGTCACACTCGTTTCGTAAAATGCGAAAATTTGGTTGTGATAAAAAAGGAAATTTTAACTGAAAATTCCGAAAACAACTTTGTAAAAAATTAGAATTCGCACGATGTTTTGGGTACAAAGGTCATTTTTTCCAGAGCTCCCACTGAGTTATCGCAACTGCACAAAATAGTTCCTTTCCTCAAAACCTGCTAAATAAGTTTTTGACATGAGAAAAAGTTTTCACAAGAGTCATTGGGCACAGAAACTTCGTGGATGAGCGTATGACCTAGAAACCGGTCCGAAGGTCATTAGCTGTGATTCGCTAATTGATAAGATTTTGTCAAATAGAGTTACTCTTACCCCCAAATTATCTGCTATGTACGATCATTGAAAAACCTGGGGAAAATGTCACAGTCCTCAGCTGTGATCAAAGCGTTAAAAATCGAAAATTGATGTAGAACTTCCAAACTGATATAACTCTTGCGGTAGCTGATATTTTTGGATTATTTACTCAATCATTATTTCTGTTGTGAAGTCTGCTAGTCAGAAAAATCTATTGACACGAGGAAGTGACAAAATTTCTAGCGTTGCACGCTTGTATCAGTAAAAATCTCATTATTTTTTGCTGTTCTGCTCGCATTAGCATTTGTACACGCATGCACTAGCGCTTAAACTATGATAGAGCGAACTGTTCTAGCAGCTACGAATGGATGTATCGTTAGGTTCCCGCTGCTAAGGAAAGTAAAGGTGTGGCTCAACGTATACCATTGAATGACAGGTGCGAAGTCTTCACGCCTCGGCTGCGTACCTAACGCCACGTGTGTGTGTGTGTTTTTTTTAGGCAACATTTGAGTGTCTGGCACCTCTGCCGAACGTTTGATTACAATCTGTATTATTGCACTCAACACCACTTTGCTTACAATTTTATTCATATTCTGTCACCGAGTCATTATTCTCTTGTAATCCTGAAACATTCATGATAGTAGACATTAGAACTTGATAAAGGCATGGGACTTACATTATTTACGGGTTACGAAGACACTATGTGCTCCAGGATCAGCGTTTTTCTAAATAATTTTTTGAAGTATTATGAGACACGCGATGTTACATAACTTGTACTGTGCTTACCGGAGGCGGATGTTCCCAAGGTACACTTCCTGGTGTTCCAACTTTGATCACGCCGGCATACACGGAGACTGCATCACCGATATATCCTCCACCTGAAGGCTTTCCTCCGCCAGCCCCTCCAGCACCCGCTCCTCCAGCTCCTCCAGCTGCTCCACTACCAAATCCGCCAGCTCCAGCTCCTGTTCCACCAGATGTTGTTCCTGATACAGCTCCCCAAATGCACTACCTGCACCAGCACCAGCTCCCCCAGCTCCAGCACCACCAGCACCAGCTCCCCCAGCTCCAGCACCACCAGCACCAGATGCACCAGCACCGCTTCCTGCACCCGCTCCACCAGCACCAGCTCCGCTCGTTCCTGCTCCTCCGATGCCTGATGCAACTCCGCCAGATTTCTGAAGTACAGCGAATTGGTTTTGTGCATTTCATGCGTCTAGTGCAGTACAAAGATGTAATTTAACAATAAACATTTGGATCATATTCACATTCATTCAGGCATTCATAGCACCGAATGCACGAATTTCAGATAGAGCCAAGGTTTGAATGTGGGATACTGATTGATGAATGTGGCACGACAATAAAATTTCCTAAAATTCTTTTCAGTTGTGAAGAGACGGAAGAGTATGCATCGTGCGTAAAAAGTAGTGCAATTTGCCATCGAATTGATCACTGAAGCTAGTAGGCATCTTACTTTCGCATGCGCATCCGAATACTTTGTTTTTATATTTTTTGTAGCAGTCGGACTGGACTAAAGAGAGGAGGCCGACAATTTCAAGAAAATTTTTAAAAAGTTGAAAACATAGTCATCTGGGTGCTCCTACATATCGAAATAGGTTTATCGTGTTGAAATGCGGGTAAGATAAACTTTTGTAAAATTATTGTGAAATCTGTATTATATTAAAGTGTAGCAAGACTCAGTATCTGCCTTGAAAACTTAACTTTGTCTACCTAGCTGAAAGAAAAGATGCTTTGTAGACTCGCTTAAAATTTTAGCCATTACTGAGAACCTTTACAGATACATTAATGGTGCAAGCAGCTGACGCAAATTAGCTAGGATAATGAAACGATGTGTACTAAAGTATGTGTATCAATTGTGGCAAAAACACTCACCACTTGTTGTCCTTGTCCGACGGCACCTCCTTTGCCACGTAAGCAAGCACACAAATGCTGACCAGTGCCAGTATGGGTATGGGTATGTGTCGTTTGTGTTTGAGTGTGTGTATGCATCGATTGTGTTTGTGCCTGTCCATGTGCTGGACATCCTCCTGCTGGTGGAACCATCACAACGAGACCTCCTGCTTGTGAACCAGCTGCACCTCCAGTGTAAGTGGTAGTAGTAGTGGTGGTAGTGACAGTCTTCGAATATGTTTGACCTCCGGCAGCTCCAGCACCACCGGCGCCGCTGGTGGTGGTAACAGTTTTCGAATACGCCTGGCCTCCGGCAGCTCCGGCAGCTCCGGCACCTCCGGCACCACTGGTGGTGGTGGCAGTTTTCGAATATGCCTGACCTCCGGCAGCTCCGGCAGCTCCGGCACCTCCGGCACCACTGGTGGTGGTGACAGTTTTCGAATACGCCTGGCCTCCGGCAGCTTCACCCCCACTGGTCGCAGCTCCTCCACTACTGGTGAAAGTGTTGGTAGTGACAGTTCTCGAATATGTCTGGGTTCCGCCAGTTCCAGTACCGGCGCCACCAGCGCTACCTGCGCCTCCGGCTTCCATGCCCTAAATCATAGGAATTCAGTAATCTGCTCAATAGCTAGGCTGCACGAGAGTTTCTAGCGACTACTTACCTGCTTGACGAATACGCTCCTAGCATAACCACCACCACCACCTTGCATACCACCTGGAGCAAGTGAAGTTGACCAAACTTCTTGTTTAAGAGGTTGTGCATTTTTGATTTCCGCTTTTTCCTGAATACGAAAAATGAGGATGTAGTATAGATTAGTTCAAGCAGAAAGAGCTCGCGGGCAAAAAGGCAGTCTTAGGCGAGAATCCAATTTTTTCGGAACGTAGGGCCGGGCCTATATCACGCGATTTCATCGCCCTGGCTTTAAGCGGGAAAAATCTTGTTTTTGTGCAAGACTACCTTTTTTCGCGATTTTCATTTTGTGAGTGGACTGTTGCGGGACTTAGCCACGAATGTCTGGAAATGTGCAAAATGTGCATCTCACTAACAAAGGAAGGATGATTGATGAAGTGGTCATTTTAGATGTGATGCATACCTTCTTAGAGGGCATAAAAACGCTTCCAAACCTGCCTTTCTTATCTGCGGAGCACTTATGAACGAGGAGTTATGAGTGCTTAATGGAGCAAAAAAATGAATGCTCATTTGGATGGAATTAGTTAGTAAAATTCTCTTGAACCTTGAATGAGGCGGCGTAATGTGAATACAATAATTATTAGATTATTCATTGCGTAAAGTCTCCAACAATCATCACTGATTTTTTCGAACTCTAGGAAAAACGTTGCGAATGTTATTATCCTACTGCAAATTCAATTTTTCAACTTCAACAACACGCTCCGCATATAGTAGACAGATAAGGAAAACAGATCTAGAATCAGCCTTATAAGATGGTTCATAATATTAGGTTCGCTAGAAAGTTCTTGCGTAATTCAAACAAAATTCAATAACTATTCAATGACTAAACCTAAATTCACAATCTTGTTCTCTAAAAATATTGGAAGGCTCGCGCTCCATGATGGATATTCAAGCGCAAGATTTCATGAGCTAGCCCCCGAGAACGAAGCTCTCAAATATGGGACTTCAAAAATTGCAATTTTAAGCTTGGTGCCAGAAAATCGCAGAGTGCCGCTAGCTAGCCGAAAAAAATCTGTAAAAATTACTTACACTGCAGAAGCCCATACGTAGTTTTAGCAGGTTTTAATCTCGCATGGAAATGCGAAAACAAAAAATTTGTGGAATTTGTCATTTTACAGGATAAATCCCCTTATCGATGTAAATTTTCCACAAAAAACACAGTTTGCAATCTTATATATAAAGCTGAATGTCTGTTTGTCTGTCTGTCTGTCTGTATGTCTGTCTGTCTGTCTGTATGTGTGTACGTATATTCCGAATAGAAAATTCCATTTCTGAACCGATCGGGACCAAACTTGGCACACATACACTTCGGGCCCCGGCGGGTGTCATAGCTCAGACAATCACAGGCTCTCAGCCGGCGGCCACAAAGCCACCGCGAAAACCCACCAAAAGCGCGGTGGCCTCATCGCGGCCACTTTCGCTTCCCGCTGAAGCCCTCATAGCAGTCCGCCCGCTGCCAGCTTTAGCCTCCCGCTCATTACCATATTTGTAGCCCGCTCGCTTCTACAGTTCTCAGCGGGAAGCGGCAGTGAGGCGATAAGGCTACGGCGCTTTTGGTGGGTTTTCGCGGTGGCTTTCTGGCCGCCGGCTGAAAATCTTGTCTGTGTAGCTTCTTGTTATGCTTGAACTACAACGTTGTAACTTCAATTAATTCATTATAACGATGACAAATAACAATGAAGAACATAACCATCTGGAGATATGACCACATGGAGAAATAGATATGGCCCCAGATGGTTATGTTCTTCATTGTTACTTGCCATCGTTATAATGAATTAATTGAAGTTACAACGTTGTAGTCCAAGCATAACAAGAAGCTACACAGACAAGATTTTTAGCCGGCAGCCATAAAGCACCACGAAAACCCACCAAAAGCTCCGTGCCTTATCGCCTCACTGCCGCTTCCCGCTTTCTTTAAAGATAGGATGTGTCGGTAGCCCAAAAGCTTAAAGGTTAGCTTAGATCGTATACTACAACTATGTACGGCCACGTTTGTAAACTCTGGATAAAGGTTATAACTAATGAAATGGCAAGTAACAGTTAAGTGGATGAGTACGCAAGTACGCAGTGATACACACGCGTAGATTTACGTTCTTTAGAACAGAAAATATGCTGATAATAGAACTTGAGGGTACAAACATTGATAAAACGATCCATATGGGGAGCGGCGACAAAGCAATACACATTCCAGCACGATAAATATATTCACAAACATGAGTGAGGAACTGCCAGTGTTAGCGCGCAATGCAGGGGTTTCTCATGCGAATCAACAATCCATTCGCGCCTGAGTATCGTTCAGGCAACTGTCAGTTCTGATCCAAACCCATTTTCCTTATGTTGTGCAACACTTCCTCTGGAATTGTGTGCGTCTTCGTCGGTGACTGCAGCGTCTCGCGTTGATTCGTGACCATGTTCAGTTGCTCCTAAAGGATGAAATTAGAAGAGAACATTACGGAGATAAGGTCACGTTTCAGCATCTTAGCAGCTTGTTTGTACAAGAGATAGACTCTGGTGAAATGCAACAAACTGACTCTTGTTCAACAGTAAACAATGATCTCTACCCAGCTAAAAGGACTTGGCTCGTCACGACACCTTCAAAGCAATTACCGAATCATGAGCTCATCGCACCTGCCGAACTCAATCAATGCATATACTAAGCCTACGCTTTGTCGCATTTCACCAAGGAGGAAGTAACTTCATGAAAGATGCTTCATACATGACAAATGCTGAATGCGTCTAAGAGAAGCTGTAATTGACTACGATTACAAACATCATGAAATGCCTGCAAAAGAGAGAGTAGTTGGAAATATATAGATATACATCAAAGACAGACATTAGACAGAGAGAAACGCAAGACAAATATGGTACAGCAATTAGTGGAAGTATGAAAAGCCCTAATTTCATTTCTAGGAGGTAGGGAGACTTTATCAAGCCTTGACGATAAAAAGAGACAGAAACTAGTTCCACATCACAGCTGTAAATAACTATCGTCGATTCGTTGACTGCGCGGACTGGACATAACCGCGGAGCACGCGCCGCGAGGTAAAACGCTTGCTCCAATACAAGATCGCCATTGTTCGTGCTCTCGCAACATGTTAACCGCGCCGCATGTGGTCCGCAGCGCTTCAGCAGTCCGTACGGTCAACGAATCAACGATAGCTGCGTTGACGAACGACTGCGTGCCAAACAATTTTCCGTAAAACTGTAAACCTTTTATGTGCTCACTGTACAAGTACAGTCGATTCATTTCATATGATCATGTGTGCACCCGCACACACCGTCCATCTTTGGCGTCCCCATCTCGGATTTGCGATCGCAAAAACGCGAGAGAGTGAGCAATTGCTGTCGCTTACATCATTTAGAAATAAATAGTACCTAAAAAGAAAAGAAAACAGCGAGAAAACATCAGAATCGCTTAACGGAAGGGTTGCGTCCTCCAAGAATCCAGGGGGTACGCCAAAGATGGACGGTGTGTGCAATGGCACACATGATCATATGAAATGAACCGACGGTACATCATTGAAAAGGTGCGCACTGTGTTTCGATGAATGCACTTGACTTCGAAATGAGAATTTTACTTTTTGAAAAGGCCGATCGGTAGAAACACGTGCGACGAAAACAACTTACGCTGTGTGTGGCACTCAGACTAAACCTCAAATCAATCCTTCCTCACTCAATGAACTTTGCGTACAACACGCTGGCGTGGAGTGAGCCGTGATGGTCGTTCGTTGCGTAAAAGGTCATGTTTTCGCGTGTAATCCGCTGAGGCTGAGAGTTTTTTCTCGAAAAAATTATAAACACAGGATTGAAGTAGCAAAGCATAGCGACGCCCTCTAATCAATAAGCATTTCGAAAATGGACGCATGCGAAACGCAATGATGCAGATCTTTGAGCGCAAAGAGAGCACGCTTGTAGTCGAATGATGTGACAGCGGCGAAAATGTTGAGAGAAAGGCACTTTTATGTTTACATTCGTAAAATGAGTGAATAGATGGTTTTTTACGGTTTTCGAGAGAGTTTGAAAAAGAGTTTTTATTACATTGTGCAGTGGATGTTTTGATTCAAAAACAAACGGGGCTTTCATTAAGCACTTCTTCCGGTTGGATAGACAGTCAAACATAGAGAACAAAAGAAATCTGATATATAAAAAATCGTTAGCTCAATTCAAAAATCTTCAAATAGCGGGGAACCATGACGAGTCCCGAAGTAAACGCTCTTCCAAATAGCGCCTATGGCCCCGGGCAGACTTCACGCGATTTGATCGTCGCGACTGAATCGCGACGAGACAACTGTTACAACTACATTCCATGCCGATCAACTTGCATTCGGTTGTGATACTTTTCCAGACCGAAAATTTTGAATGTGAAATGAAAATGAATGGAAATCTTGGCGATTTGGTCGCGACGATTAAGTCGCGTGAAGTCTGACCGGGGCCTATAGGTACTGGTTCACTAGTACTTGAAATGAAGCACTGAACGATAACGAAAATGAAAACAAAGAAAAGCAAAGATGAAAACAAAGATTAGGCAACAAGAAATGAAAAAATGACGCGAGCCCACGCTGCCAATCTCGTTTGCCTGCACATCTAACTTTTCTGGTGCGATCAACAATGTCTCGAGCGGGCAACGATATGGCTTCCAGTTGGCAGCCACAATACGGCGTTATGAATCAAGGCTGCCTGCTCATAGCATTGATGCGGCCCGCTGACAGAAATCTTGTATTCGCAGTCCCATCGTTTCACGGTCGCTGCCAGCTTAACGGAGTCGCTGCCTCATCGTCGCCTTTTGGCTGCTTTTGTAGGAATGAATGCGCTCTGCAGCTATTTTCTGACTCATGGAAGATTATAGCTGCCCGCTGGTAGCCCGTCGCCGCCCGTTTACCGCCATCCCTACAATGTCGTCGCCCGCTCACTGCCACTTTTGCAGTATCGCCGCCCGCTCAGTGAAACTGCCCTTTATCGCCGCCGGCTGAGAGCCTGTGATTGTCTGAGAGGCTACTTTTCGTATCGATCGATATCGATTTTATCGATTTTTTTTCGTAATCAGCATGCTCGATTACACCCCTCTGCCAACTCCCAGCCCCGTAGCTCAAATTTTGCAAAAAATCGATAAAATCGACATCGATCGATAACGAAAAGTGGACTGTGACACCCGCCGGGGCCCGAAGGGTATGTGTGCCAAGTTTGGTCCGGATCGGTTGAGAAATGGAATTTTCTATTCGGAACATACGGCGGAGCCGGGTAAGCCAGCTAGTTATAAATAAGACATACTGGCTATTTAGAACCTTGCGACGTTTTTTGGAGTGTAAAAAACTGTTTTTGCCGAAAAACTGCGGTAATGAGAGGATTTTTTCCGCAAAATGACTATTTCACGAATTTTTTGTTTTTGCTTCGCCGTGCAAGATCGAAGCCTTCCAAAGGAACTTATGGGCTTCTGCAGTGTAAGTAATTTTTACATATTTTTCATGGCTAGCTAGCGGCACTCTGTGATTTTCTGGCACCAAACTCAAAATTGCAAATTTTGAAGTCCCATATTTGAGAGCTTCGTTCTCGGAGGCTAGCTCATGAAATCTTGCGCTTAAATATCCATCATGGAGCGCGAGCCTTCCAATATTTTTAGAGAACAAGATTGTGAATTTAGGTTTAGTCATTGAAAAATTATTGAATTTTGTTTGAATTACGCAAGAACTTTCTAGCCAACCTAATATATCTCCAAATACGGATTCAAGTAGCCATCTTCTCTTTGTAAGACTGCAAACTTGACATACGATGTACGAAATCTGATGTTTTTGGAGCATCCTCAGCAGTCCCACTAAGTTGTTTTACTAACACAAAACTTCTCAATTTTGTATGCTAATCAGAAAAAGTATTGCTTGAACTCTTCAAATCAAAAGCAAGTTTTTCTCAACACGTGCTCCTCTCGAACGGAAAACATTCTCGAAATCCACGTAAAAGTACAAATACCCTGTTTTGCTCACTGAGAAGGGCTTATGGCTAGAGGCTGTTGAGATTATTTTTGTCGATATTTGAGTAACTTACAGTCAAGATCTCCTGCTGAGTTTTGTTTTGTACCTTCGATTGGACAACCAAGTCTGCCTTCTCAATTGTTGTCTGATTAGCCTTGACGTCTCTCTCGATGCTGAAATGCAGTGCTCTCACGGACTTCATGATAAAGATTTGGATTAGCATTTTTTGACCATTCACAAAAGACATAACATTATAGCTAGCACGTACAAGATATTGAACATTGTTCTAAGCAGTGTAAAAATTCACCAACTTCGTATATCGCTTTATCACAATCAATTACGGAAAATGCGGAACTGCCTTGCCTAACTTTGGAAATTGAAAATTAAGTTACTTGCAGTTAAAAACTTCAAAAAATTTCTAGCGTTTTTAACTGCATTTTATCCTCTACTCCACTGACAATTCTTGGAATTCTGCACCAAAAAAACTAGAAGATTCAGTTTGGTTATCTCTATGTCAGTTTCTAGTTTCTAGTTTTGCTTTTTTTAAAATTTCTCCTAAAACACTACGGAAGCAAACAAAGCTTGAGGGCATTTTTATCATGAATGATGCGTGAGAAGGAAGTGCGTGGCACCAAACTTTATCACAGTGGAAACTTTATCACACTGAGCCCAAATAACCTTGTAGCCAATTGGAGCGTAGTAATTGACAATGAGATAGTTCCTTTAGATTGCTGTTTCTATGTAAATTAGCATAAGTAGCGGATATAATGCATCAAGCAGCAGGTCTCGCGGTCAGGCGATTTCAAATGCTGCGCATATGTTTGGATCATCGTCTTTGAGCGAGGTACGACTAGAAACTTTAGTAATTTAGTCATCCTGTAGGGATTAACATAAGCATGCGCAAGAACGCGACCCAAGTGGGCGCTGTAGCCATTTGTAGGACTTGCTATAAGTGATTGTGCTTTCAATAGATACGTGCAGGTAATTGAGTTTGTAACGCTGGGAGTCGTTGCTTCAGTTTCAGCATCTTGAACAGCGGCAAACACAATGGAAACGAAAGCACTAGCACACGTAAGATATTCCCAGTTCTGGCATAGTTGCGGAAATATGGTTACTCTAGGCGACAAGCTTTATGCGGAAAAACCCAGCTACCAGCTTACTACAGAGGGTTTTCTGTTTCCTTCTGCTTAGGTCATCGTAAGTCAATAGTATTCCAACCAACGCTGAGTAGAAGCCAAATACTACACCGACTGGGTCTAACTCGAATTCGCGATTTTTTGCCGCAAAAGGGCGGGCATACTTCACGCGATTTCAGTCGCGACGCGATTTGGCAATTCGCCAGAAGTCTTCATGTCCAAAACTAGCAAACTGCACATGCATAGTGTGTATAACTTACACATGCATATGTAGATTGATAAAAGGCCCCATCCTCTTACATTCAAAATCTGCCTACAGTGAGCTATGGACAGTTGGAATATTGCCAAATCGCGTCGCGACTGAAATCGCGTGAGGTATGCCCGGCCCCTAAGGGTTTTGCTGAAGCAACGTGGGCAGTTTTTGTATCCATTGTTACACATATAACCTGGTAACCGAACGCATAGCTTTGAAGTTCAACACGATAACGCTAACAAAGTGCCTTTGAGGTAATTCTTTACGCGCAAGTGGCAAAGAGGGGTTTGTAGTAAACCACTTTAGGTGGCGGTGTAGCTCGTGATAGAACACGTTCCCAATTCGTTTCGATTCTGCCGCGGTAGCTGGGTGAAATCGGTGGCGGTCGTGAGGTGGGGCGTGCTCGTCCTTGTGCGCATAGGAACCAGCATCAGCCTAGTCACATGGTGGGTAGACAAAAGAGAATAGTGTGCTAAGAAGAGGAACCCAGCAAGCGCACGCGACTCCGATGCTCAAGAACCTACGCGCAGATCACTGAATCTAAAGCAGCCAAGTGATATCAAAAGCAGATAGTCGCGGAATAGGCAACATGTAAGCAATTATCTTTCCCTCTGGGACGCCCTCCTTCTGTATTTTGTTTCGAAGCCTAGCAAAGGTGGGTCCACAATTACGATGGATTTTGAGATTTTACTCAGCGAGCTATTGTTGTTTTTGAGTGGTTTGCACCTGAATTTATACGTCGCACCTGCTCAAATTAATTTTCTTGCATCCTCAAATTAGTATATGCTTAGGAATTATACTGCCTTCATCATTATAACTTTACTGCTTTGTCGTTTATTGGCTGTGCACCTGTGTTTTCCTTCCATCTCAATAAGGAGAACATTTGGGCCGCGGCTAATGCAACTGCACATGGTTGCACAATCCAGATTATTACTTGTTTAATTGTGATATTTCTGATGTATTTCTATGTTTCAAAATTTGCACCCCATTTCCCTTAGAAACTTCCTTACATTCATTGAGATATGTATCTCATAAACATGTGTTTTTCCGATCACTTTGCAAAAATTTGCCTATGCGACACTTCTTTCCGCAACGTTTGGCTCAGTTGCGCCAAGGTCGCTGCGCTATCTGCTCTGTGCTTTGTAAGAAAACGGAATTGCGATCACTCATATTAAAACCCTGGAGGTGGCATTTACAAGTGTTATACAGGGTGTCCCGAAAAATGTGCATACTTTTCGGTCGTTAATAACTCTTCTGCTTTCATGTCTTTGACCGAGCTTGACGTACCATTCTGTAGAGCGAGGTTCAACTTAGATTTACAGTATGGAGCAAATCACCAATCGCTCTTCGTTACTGTAGAATCACATTATGAACTTTCAACATACAGCGCCAGTGTGGAATAGGCCTTTTGATAGAAATAATTCCAAAAAGTCTAGAAATTTGTGTAGCAAGGTTTCAGAAATCCTGACTTCACTACACAACTTTTTACCAATTCCTTTAGCTCTGTTAATGGCGTAACCGCACTTCTGACGAACATTGTGGGAACAGATGTTGCCCTAAATCTGAAATAACTTATGAAAGAAGCAAAACACTGAAGCGCAAATTTCATATTTAGAATAAGCGACTTCGACTAGTCCAGTACAAGAGTTTCTGGCATGTTCGCTTTTATTTCTGGCGCAAAAATCGCTTTCGCTTTGCTAAAATCCTTCTCGAAGTTCATACTGTAATCCTACAGTAAAAAAGAAAGATCGGAGATTTGCTCCATGCTGCAAATCTAAGTTGAATCGCTCTGCAGAATGGTATCTCAAGCTCGACGAAGGACTTTCAAGCAAGTGAGTTATTGACGATCAAACAGTGTGCACATCTTTTTGGGACACCCTGTATAAGCTAGCAACTGTGAATTTACAGTCCGAGGCCCAGCGCGGTTGATGCTGGTTTGAGTTCTTCTGTAAATGTGACCGTTATTACTGCCCTATCTTTGCGTCAATGGCAGACCGAGAGGGGAGGCCCCCCCCCCCAACCCTGAGAATGGGTCGCAATTTTTGAAATTTACCTACATGGTTTATGAAAATAGGCAAGTGACTTGTTTGTTTTTGTAAATATTTCGAATGTTTTTTTGAATTTTTTTTAAAAAAATCAAATTAGCCTTGTAAAAAAATTTTCGGGGGCGTAACTGCCGCCACCTCCCCTTTTTTTTCAAACTTTAGGGGTTATGGGCCCACAGAAACCTTGAGAAGCATCCCGAAAACTTTTCAAATGCATGGTTAACGCCGCCGCGCACCTTCATTTGGAAAAAAATTTTGTGTCTCCCCTGTCGCCCCTTGCACATCGATCCGAATACGGCCATGAAAAGGCCCATTTGCAATAAAAACATGAAAGTCGAAATTTTGGATGGACGCTGCTTCTAAGAGCTATCCGTAGCACAGTGTCGGTGCGCGCTTCTCATCAATGGCTCGATGACTAGTGTGCGCGCAAGTTTTGCGGCGACTAAGGCATGCTCATGACCAGCAAGTATCTCAGTCAGACATGTCACCGTGATTCATCTACATTACAAATTTTGGGGGATCATTACAAGCCAGGATGTATGCACTGAGCATGACATCCATCGCAAGAGCACTATGTTGACCGCCAAATCTACTAGATTGCAAATTTCGCCATTAAATTTGTCCTTCCATTACAGGAGCGCGAGTTCACAAGCTTCCCAGTCGAGACCTAATTTGTCTAATTTTATAACATTAACATGTTGACGGCTACACGAACTTTCAGTTGTCTGCCTTGTGGGACCCAGCTTTACAGAAACTGTCAGCTAAAATCGCGCAGACTGTTATAAAGGTATTCCTACAAAAGCACTGAGAAGCTACCAAAAAAAGACTAAAAGGCTTACATTATGATAATTGGCATATTCTGAGCTTTTTGACATTGACTTTGCTTGATATCTTTAACAAAAACTGGTTCACGGTATTCACCCTAAAAAGGAACATAGAAAAAGCACAAGCCAAAACAAATTTGCCCACCAACAAGATTACTCCAACTGCTTTCTGATCAGCAGGAGCTTTAGCATCTTTTGGAAGCACTTGTGTTTTGCCTTCTTTGTCTTCGTAAACTATGCCGATTACGGTACCGGTCTCAACTTTATCATTGGGCGTGCAAACCACAACGGGTGCATTATCACTGCTTCCAATTCGTTGTCCTGCTGTTTGTGTAAATACAACGTATCCATCGGTGTTCTTAGTAATTAGACCAACAGCTGCATACTTGTCCTGTAAAGATGTGAAAGCTGACTTTTGAAACAGGGTAGCATTAACACATTGACGATCATGCAGATTTTCAGTTGTCTGCCTTCTGGGACCAAGGCCTTTTCCAGACCAGCCCAAATTTTTCAACTATAGTTATGCATACTGCCGTCTACAGTACATTTACAGTACATCTGAAAGGCTGAAAAATGGTAGAGATCATTCCTAGATTTAGCGCAAAAGAAAGCTCATGGAGTGAGTTTTTCCCAGAATAGTAGTCATTTTAACAGAATTCAAGCCTTGACACACATGGTGTGTCAAGCGTCAATGTGTTAAAAACTCGTGAGAAAGAGCAACTTTGATTATGTTTCATTTTATGTTTATTTATGGAATGACGATCTGACAACGATTACAGTTTTTTTTCTCAGTAACTGCCAAAAACAAATTTTAATATGGATTTCAAACGCATCTATTAGGTTGTTCCAGAAGCAAACCGTTTTTTTGGAATAAGTCAAACTGTATCTCTCCTAGCAGACTTTTTTGTTGTTTTTTCGTATTAAAGGCAGCGTTCAAAATTTCACTTCCCGGTTTTTCACCTCTTCAGAGCCTTACCGCCATGCTGGGAGCCCGATCTGATTTTTTCGGCGCTTGAAAATGGCAAAAGTAAGCTTTCTCCGAAGCTTTCCGTGTCCCGCTCCAAATTGCGTGAAAGAAGTAGGCGTGGCCTGGAAATGGGCGGGGTCCGGAGGACTTTCGGAGCGGATTTTGGGCTTTTCAGAAGCTTTTCGCTCCAGACTTCACTGATGGACTATCTGGAGGGTCCACCGTTGGAAAACTGTAAAACCGCGGTACCCGTCATCACTTTGAGGGGAAGCTGCCTTTAAGCTTAATATTTATCCATGATCAGAGCGCAAACAAGGATACAAACCTAAGATTGCTTACTAGGGCTTGTGTATGCAATCATGTGCATAGTGGGAGGAGCTAAGGTGGAGCTTGCCATTTTTGGGCTTTGTTTTCTCGATTTCTATGCGCAAAAAATTGCATCTCAGCTCATAGTACTACTATATATTTTTAGTGTGACGACCAATCTGAAGCATTGTAAGACTTTTCTTCACAAAAACTTTCCGGTAATATTTATTTTGGTTCCGTCTTTAGACTAAAGCTGCATTACGACTTGAATGAATTTCTGGTGGTCACTATCATGTAGAGCTTGCTTTACTCTATCGTTGGTACCCCAACCTCGCTAAGAAAACAAATTGATTACTTTAGAAAAACGGTTCACTTTTGAGACAAGTTATGATTCAAGTATCCTACTAAGTTTGCAGTCATAGTCAGTTTGATTTCTTTTTCCTGCTCCACCAGTCCACGGATCTCAGAGACTAAAAAGGCGAAAAGACGAACTGTACCTTTGGAACATCTTCGGCGCATGCGATGTACTTGACCGTCACCATGCCTTTTTCATTGACTTCGACCTCACAAGGAACGCATACTGTAAATGTTATGACATAGCAGAAATCTTTAAGGATATTACAACGCACATTGCTCTCCAAGTTTCTTCTGCAGAGCCTCGTCCACGCCAGCGACTTTCATATGCTGGGGGTTGCCTTGGCTGTCGCACTAAAATCAACCTTGTATGAAGTTTTATTCGATTTTGCTAATATGACTCAATTCAGAAGCAAGATGCTGGCAAATTTGAATATTGGAACTCTCAAAACGAGCCATTACCCTAGCGGCGGCTCATATTTTCGATGACCAAGAATCTCAATCTAACTCCGGATTAAACGCAATGTTTCAAGCGGTCCAGCAGCTTCCTCGAGTACATTTGGAACTTTGGTCTGGTTAGAAGTTTGGAGTTCTTTTGCATATGAGCTGCCAAAGGTTCATTGACTTAGTTAAGGTCTCTAAATCAACTTATTGTCAGATTGTGGCGACTGGAATCGCCGGAATCCAGTGCCCGCCTTATGTCCGGGGCATAAGGCGGGCACGGGCATACTTCCGCTCGGGGCTTAAAAATCCCAAGCACCGATTTTGGACTCTGCTTTGGAAAACATACCCTCTAAACGATTCGGTCTCAGGAAATTGAAGCTTTCTTATAGCAACCCCCAACTTTTAATCAAAATATTGATTGTACAGCGTTATAGGCATTATGCAAACTTTTAAGAACTCAAAACCAATCTGAGGCTTTTATGTTGGAAGTTGTGTTAGGATAGACTAACACAAAAGAGCATTCCTTTATCGAGCTCAAATTCCACCTCAAGCTGGGCATTATTCATTGCAATATTTTGGAGCAAATGATCGCAAAAGAGTCTGACGGAGTCGCAGCACAGCGGAGCTGCATATACGCTTCCATTATTCCGTTTATTGGAGTCGATCACACCTAGTGTAGTTTGAGGTTATAGTCGTCCTCACCCCACTAGTCGGTCGGTGGATGAATTCGAATTCGAACTGGAGCAGGCAGGTCGCGGCAGAGCACGGCACCTTAGCTCTCCGTTCAAATTCACGCATTCACTGTGCGTATTTCTTCGCCATTGCTTAGCAGTTTTTGTATTGTTACAATGTTTTTGATCTATATTGTGTTTTTGTAATTGCTGAGCGTTGTCTCCTGCCGCGCTTTGCCGCGACAGGCCTGCTCCAATTCAAATTTGAATTCGTCCACCGACCGACTAGTGGGAGGACGACTATAGAAATCTTAATGGCAGAACCAGGTTCACGTCTACTACAAGTACAAAAGAGAATCCTGGTACCTCTCCTGCTTTAGCAATCTTAGGAATTCTCTACAAAATTTTGGGAAAGTGTTGAGTGAACATAGGGAACTGGACCTATCGAAATTTTTCAAAAACTTGGAGATGAGTGAATATAGGAAATCGTTTCTATCGAAATTTTCTCCAAAACTTGCCGTGCATTGTCCATCAGCATAAAATATCGCCTCTCCATGTTTGCCCTTTACCAGCTGTCCCATAGTGTAGTTGCGATATTTGATTTTGCCATCTTTGTCTGTTTGTACCTTCTCTATTGGAATGAATTGTGGAGTTTCTAAATGTGAATTGTGCCTACTCACCATCTAACAGCGTCTTCAACTGCGCTTACCATGTGCTCCTTTGACGAGTATTCCTTTTATGGTTTGTTTCTCCATCTTAGCTCTTGGACCTACTTCAGCCGTTTCCACTTTATCTACTTCAACCAGCACAGCTACACCTGCTGGACCCTGTAAGATTCGCAACTTGTCTGCTGAAGCTTTACAAAGGAACACGAGGGCTTATTTTTCATAGATTTGGCGATATCATTGGGCGACAAGTAAATCGCGATGATATTCCGACCTCAAATGTGCAGTGATATATTGAGCCAACAAGCGATAGAGCCAAAGGCCCGTGAGCGCGGTGGACATTGTTTTGGGCGGAGAAAAAAAACAGTTAAGAATCTACTGGATCTGAAGCGGAGCCTAAAATTGCAAGTGCACGGTAGTGGTGAGTAATTGTTGCCAATTGTAAACATGGTCTGAGATTTTTCGAGTTTTAGCAAGCTTTGTCGAAAAAATTTTTAGGCCTTTGACCCTGGCAATAGTCGGCGCAGAACAGTTTCACCAATTTGTACAATTAGATTTGCGTACTGCATGAAGGCGCAAAAGAAAGTCAGTGTAAAAGGTGGAAGAGAGATGTTAAAGATAAACGTGCCCTGTTTGGTCCCAGCTGTTGCAGTTGAAGCGTCTAAGGCCACGAAAATTTTCGATCAAACCTTTCAGCTAGAAGTCGGTGAGGCATGAATCTCACCGACTTCTAGCTTCGAGATCAGCGTACTACTCTAACCCAGGCAACCGCTGGTATCGCATATGGGGGAGGGGGGGGGGGGGGGGGTAGTTAGTCAAAGCGGATGATGCAGCACTTCAGGATAAAAAATGGGTTTTAAGACACAGTACAAGTGCGGTGGGAACCATCCAGTACGCACAAGTGTTACTGTAACTCTGCTCCTATTCAAGAAGTTAATAACACGGAAACATTTGCGGGTAAATCTCAAATGCTTCTAACGATAGTCATTCTGGTACCGTGATGCTTTGTGGACCTGGCAATCAAAAGCCTAAATGGTCCAAGGAAACTGCTGTTACACTAAAGAAATCACTTCATGTGGACGAAGCCTTGTGCTGTGAAGCTTATATCCGCATCAAGTAGACGAGCAGCATTAATGGAGATTTAGCTGTCCTAAACTTTTTAAAGCTTGACTCTGGGTAGGTTTTTCTAGGAGCGAAACTGCCGGGGCTGCATCATAAATGCTTCTAAGCAAAAGCAAGATTAATGAAAGATTTCGGTTTTGCTCAAGAACAAAATCCTTTTGTAACCTTTGAGGCTTCTCGTATGTAAATGACCCCTCTTAAGTGGAAATTTTGACTTTGCCCAAGCAGATTATATTCGAACATGCACTCTGACAGTGTGGACCTCTACCTGCTGAAAAGGAAAGGATTGTAATAAATCTACTGTAATCGAGCAAGCGAGAACGCTCAATGATTTGTGTCTTCTCCCCCCCCCCCCTGCATCGGTGACTTGATTTGTAAAAAATCCTATTTTGGTAGTTCCCTGAAAATTTTGAGACTGCTTATATCACTTACAACGGCGCAGACTTTGTCTGGTGTTATTGCTCCATCGATAGCTTTGTCCTCATCGGATTCAGAGTCAGCAGCATGTCGCAGTTCAACGAGCTTCCTACAATAACCTGGCTATATATGAGTAAAATTTCACAACAAATTCTATAATTGAGTGCTATTCTCTTCCTAATTCGTGGGGCTAAATGGAATGCTGAATATCCGCACTTTCTATCGCTTTCATCATCTTTGACCATTTTCGTCCCCTTTATCTTTTCTGCACTTTCTTTTGATTTCTTCTGTCTTCTCGCCCTTCGCTTAGCTCTCCTTTCCAATCTGTGCTTCTTGCAACGCTTTTTCTTTCCGTTGGGGAGACGTACACAACCACATGGAGGTGGATCGATCATAATCTAAACGACAAACATTGTCATTCTTTATAATACAAGTGAGGGAAAGAAAAGGAAGATTTCGGATGATTCTCCATACCACCAAAATCTCCTGATCGCCTTGCTTGATCCTATGTAGAGTTGGTGCTCCCATTGAAGGGTCTAGACCTTGTGGGAGTTGGCCCTCAGCTTGCATCTTCGCGATATCCTCTTAACGGGTAAATCAGAGAACTATAGCATCCAAGTAACGCTAAATGTAAAAAAAACCTTTAGTTAGTGGAGTTCCAGGCATTGCCTCTATCTGATCCTTCGTTGGCATCATACAAACATTGTAATTGTTGTCAGGTTTCTAAATACATTTTTGTGTGCATTAAGGAGGGTAGAATCAGATGATAGAGGGTAAGCTCTGTGCACTAATATTAAAGATGGAAAATAACCCTTGGTATTTCCGTACCGGCACGTTCTTGCCAGCACATTACCTGCGGTAGTAGTGAAACTCCAGTACACAGTGCACGCCTCCGGCACACAAGCATTATTTTCGTGGAAAGCAGAGAACCTTGTCTTCACTCCTCCACATAGGTATTTTGCGAAATCATGGGTAAGTTGTTAACAAACCCGCAATGTGCTGTGCACTGTTGTCCTGCCACTACGTATGTCATACCATGTAATGTATGAGATCCGCCTACCTCTCATTGGGTAGAGGACGATCACCTCAGCTAGGCACCGCCTCCACCGACTACTGATCCTAACGCGATGCACAACAGTAGGACGAAAGGACCACCAGCCCGCAGAGGAGGTGCCTAATTGAGGTGTTCGTTACTCTACCCACCTCACATTCTGCGAACACTTTTCAGGAGCCTACGCATATAAGAATGACAAAATTCGACATTAAACTTCCAAAAAGTCACCATTTGCTTCAAAATGGATAGATTTTGAGTCCAATAGCGTTCAACTCAGCACAGCATTGCCCATATTTGGATATATAGAGGGGCCCGTTTGGATACGGTAGTTGGCCAGAAATCATAAATCTATTTAGATTTCTGTTTACGATAGCTTATCCAGTGTGCTTATTCATTGCGCAGTGAGTAACCTACCGTAGATACAACGTGAAATTCTACCGCCTACCCTATCTAAAGACCGATTCTATATATCAGAAGATGCTCCCTCTGACCTGAGTTGAGCGGTGCCCTTGAATTCAAAATTTGTCCACTTTGAATCAGAGCAGCGATGCGGCGCAGATTTCGGTGAATTCAGTAAAGTTAGGTGGCTATTTCGACGAATTATAAGCGGTATCGTAGCTACTATGAAACTTAACGCTACATTCCTCTATCTTTCACTTTAATCCGCTAAAGATCATCTACTATTGGTACAGGGCGTGAGGTAACTACTGATTCATCTGGCTTGGCTGCTGGAAAGCGGGGTTTTGTGACCTAGTAAGGCCGCTCGCGCCAGGGACGCAGCCTGCGTCTCTTCCGCGCGCGTGTTCTCTGATCTCTTACCTAGCCTTAATTAGGTCACGAAGCCCCGCCTTCCAGCAGCAAGCCTGTTGAATTAAAGGGTACGTTCTAATGAAAAGCCAGCTTCCCTTATAAGCGTAAGATGCATTTCGCCATAGTTAATGGTTCTTCGAAGTTGTTCATTAAGGCTTTGGCCATACTTCGCCCGTGTTGCCGATGTTTCCAGTGTTGCCAGTGTTGAAAGTGTTGTCGGTGTTGAAAGTGTTGAAAGTGTTGAAAGTGTTACCGGTGTTGAAAGTGTTGCCAGTGTTGAAAGTGTTGAAAGTGTTGCCGGTGTTGGAAGTGTTGAATGGAGATCATCAGTCTAGCAGTTTCATTCTTTCTCGAACAATCTCACCGGCTGGTCAATACGTTGGAAATGGAGTCGGGGAATGAGAAATGAAGCTGAAATGAGATGGGGAATGTTTTCGCATGCAAAAGATCCTCAAACAAACTTTTTGAAAAGTGGACGGCTTGTCTGGAATAGGCAATCTCCAATATTTGAGAAAGCTGACGTCTGAGTAGTAATGTGCTTTAGTTCGAATCCTGCATCGCGTGCGATTAGTGAGTAAAGGACCTAAGTGAGGTCTGCAGCGTTTTCAAATATTAGAGATTGCCTATTCCAGACAAGCCGTCCACTTTCCAAAAAGTTTGTTTGAGGATCTTTTGCATGCGAAAACATTCCCCATCTCATTTCAGTTTCATTTCTCATTCCCCAATTCCATTTCCAACGTATTCACCAGCCGGTGAGATCGTTCGAGAAAGAATGAAACTGCTAGACTGATGATCTCCGTTCAACACTTTCAACACTTTCAACACTTTCAACACTTTCAACACCGGCAACACTTTCAACACTGGCAACGCTGGAAACATCGGCAACACGGGCAAAGTATGGCCAAAGCCTAACAATGAAACTGTATTGTAAGCTCCCGCTGATAGCGATAATCAATCTCATTCGTTTCGAATAGTCAGTTAGCGGTCTTGGAAAGCAGTCTTCAAGCTTATTGCTTCTGACGTTCATTTGAGAGCAGTTTTTGGAAGAAGTATAGAATAATTCGAGCCAGGCTTTGTCAATGCCCAAATTCCTTACATGAGAGAAGTTGGGTAGAACTAATGCACAACAAATAACGTATCATTCTGATTCAATACTGGTACTTATAAATATCGAAGTGGATACGTAGAGTCACTCCATTCAAAGAAGGAAACTGCGCATTGTCAATCATTCCTTCTTTCAAGTGTCTCAAAAGTGAACTAAATTTTACTGACCGCTGCTTGAGCCATTTCTTCTGAACCTAAAAATAAGTTCTTTAACGTTAATCACAGAAGACGCACTAAGCACTTACTTGGAGCAAATGTTAATTAATTAAGAGAACGAGTAGCTGGAAATAACATTGATATACTCTGACCAAGCGTTGCTAGGATCCGCAACCTACTTAAGAGGTCAGTAGAGCGATTGATAGTGTGTAGACCAGCACAGTGAAACCTACCGCAAAATGAACTCTGAGATTGTTTCGAAGTTTAGCTATGAATAACATCAACAGTTCAATTCATCTAAACATTCTCAACTTGGTGGTGGATCATCGGCGGAGAAATCTATTGCGCTTTCAAATAAATCAAATCGATTTTGTTTTTCAAGCAGATTTAGGGCACTATTCAGTAGAGCAAGGCAAGCTCTACAGAATCAATGATCCACCCATGTTGTAGTTCAAGTATTTGGAGCCGGAATCAAAAAGAATTTATCTCCTAAGTTACATTTTTGCGAAATAAATCTTACGAGGCTTAAACTAGTCGTCATATAGAAGGCACATAATGGTAACATTAAATGTATTCGCTAAACTTTTTCGCTCATAGAAACTGAGAAAATACGATATCCCAAGAGTGGCAAATATACCTCTGTATGTGCTCTAATATTCTAGAAATTACAAGTTTAACATTGAAAAAAGTGAATATTTGCATTTTTGGGCTATTTCTGTTTCTTGATTTTGAGTTTCGTAAAAAGTCCAGCAAATGTAATTGTAGATACTACTATGTGTAACGTATGATGACCAAGTTGCAGATCCGTTGGAATTTTCTGGATGGGTATGCGATTTTTAGTGTGGTTGAAAATAGATTTCGGCTCCTAACTTTACTTGGACCACGACTCAGTGGATCTGTGGACTCTATAGATCTTGCTTTTCTTTCGAGTAGTACCCTAAGTCTGCTAAGAAAACAAAAAATACAGATTTACTCAGAAAAGGGTTTGCTTTTGTACCTAATAGTACTTATCAATAGGGTGACGAGCTGGTTTTTGACCAAATATTGGTCTACCGATTGACTTGGTCCATCTGCCCATGGATAGTCTGCCGTGCCTTCTCGCTAGAACTTTCCTACATTGTTGCCACTCTAACGTCTGTAAGTTTTTATGGTATCTCCTCTTCTATTTTTGATTTTTTTTGCGTTTCAGAGACAGAAATGCTACCTACTCCTCCTCCACCTTATCCAGAGAGTGAAACAGCTGCAAATGAAGCGGCTTTGGAAGAAACGATCGTTCCGGAAAAGGTACGCGACTTGTTGTAAGTGAAATACGGTGCATATTCTTAGCTTGGGTTCTGTATATGAGAAATTTTTTTTTTCAAATTTCGCTCAGCAGCAGATCTCAATGGTTTGCTTTCGACTATTCGCTTCATACAAAATGAGTAACACTTTAGCATGATCGACGATAGAATAGAAAGGAAAAAATATTGGGTTGTTTCAAAAGTTCTACCCGTTTTCGATACCTTTTTTTTAACTGCCAATTTTGGAGAAAGAAACCATTTTTCATAAACAATGTTTATAACATTTAAAAGCGTTTTTCTTCTAGTTTTTTAGGCATGCTTTCGTTTTCATAGATCTCTGTTCATTGTGTGGTTGCGTACTTTGAAACGACAGCGAAACAGATGCGAAAATCTTCGTCTTTGCTCCATCGCCGTGAAATCATAGCCAAAAGAAAAAAATTTCTCTTAAAACACACATAATGTTTGCTGGAGAATTGTGCTACGAAACGCTCATCGAGATATGATTTCAGAAAAATTCTGAACCTACAAATTTTTAGCTCAAACATAACTTGTTTTTATGGTCCCTTTAAGTCGCATAAAAATCATAAACATATTGCAATTGCGAAACTTTTACTCTATATAGTAAGATTAGAGCTAGAACAACTGCTACTATAAGAACGAAAAAGTTTCTTGTTTGTCAACAGCGAACAAAATCAAAAATGTCAAAAAATTGCATTTTTGGCCGCCTCAGAAAGAGCAAAATAAGTGGGTCCTTTCGGATTCTTCAGCACAAAATTTTTATGAAAGAGTTTGATGAAATCCAAAGTTAGCGGTACTGCTCAATCGACTATGGGCTACACTGTGAGCAATGCTCGTGCAACTCAGCTATATTCCAAATCAAGTTATGCTTTGGCAAAATGAAGGTTTCTACAAGGAGATGTTCCTCGATTTTCGCCTATAAAATCTTCTCCACCGTTACTGCAATAACCTTAAAGAGTGTGCAGATAGCCAAAGATTTGCAGATTGTAACACAGTTTATAGCAATTGCAAAGATTATTTCTGAGAAGAGCTACGGTGAATCAAAGTCAGAGTTCGAAAACGGGTAGAACTTTTGAAACAACCCAATATCTATTTTCGTCCCTAGTTCCCTGGAATGGAGATCAGTTTATGAGAAATGATCAGTATTTGTTCGGATCCCATGTCAAGTTGCCGTCTGGAAGTTTACGACCTTGCACCAAAAATCAAACCCCTGGCTTCTTCAGAAGCAAATTCTTTGGCAGTTGAATTTAAAATTCATGCACCACGGATCTGCACATCAGAGAATTCTGTAACAGTAATGCATGCTATACATATTGGAGGATAGGTTTGAGTCACTTCATTTGTATTATTATTTGTATCATTTGTAAAATAAAACGTAATATTAAGCAGTCAAGTGACCGCTAGAAAGCCAGTATGTATGTGAAGCAGCCATATGAAACAGTCGAGCTACAAATTTTGTCGCTGAACAGGATTTGTCACAAATTTGTAAGAGTGATCTAATTGACCATATCCGTTCCAGAACGATGGCCAGAAACAGCCAATTGTAAAGCTCGATTTACCTACAACAAGCCCACAACTGCCCACTAATACACCTTATGAAAGTAAGTCAACACTTTATATTGTAGTGTAAGTAACAAAAAGGCTCACCACGATTGTAATATTTGCAGTGAAAGCAATGAAACCTCCACAGATCGACCAAATGACTCCGATTACACCGTTGCCTTACACCACCGCACCTAACACGCCTATGCCCATGCAAGGCCAATCCTTGCCATTTTCAGGACAGCCAGGAATGAGGCGCGTTGCTAATAAATATGCTTCAAAAATGTGCTCATTTCTAGAATATTTCAGTGTGCCTGGTATGACCAGTGCAGGAATGTCCAATGTAGGCGCACCGACAATCCAACCTTCTGTGGCTTACGCTGCTGGGCCTGCTGCTATGCAAGGCTATTCTACGCCTATGTCCTTGCCACAGATGTATTCGCAACAACCAGCGATACCTATGAATCCGATAGGTATGCCTGGAGGAGTAGCTACAGCTCCTTCTCAAGCAGGTAATTCAAGCTCTTTTATTATCTGCCAGAAGGCTTTATTCTTGTTAGAGAATTATTTCAAAAACTCGGGCTATAGTCACTATTAATCGCTTTTCCGAAAGAAAGTTTGAACACATCAATTCATCGTCGTCGCCCGGAAAAATTTTCGAGAAGAAGCCACCTTAAGGGCAGGAGAAATGAGTGGGGGGGCTTGCAAAAGCTTGTGACCATTCCTACTTTTTACCAGTCGCTTTGCGTAAATGAAACACTTTTGCAATTCCTGGATAATTTCATTGGCAGTAGAGTTATATTTTGGCTGAAAAAGAAACACGAGCAACATTTAACTGAGTGAAAAAAAAAAGATTAAATACAGGGTGTCCCAAAAAAATGTATCGAACGTTTGATCGTTAATATCTCTCTTCTGAAGAAGTCTTTTCTCTTGCTTCAGGTACCAATCTGTAGAGCTGACTTCAACTTAGATTTGCATTATAGAACGAATCACTCATCTCTCTTCATTACTGCAGGATTACGGTAGAAACTTCAAAGAGGGTTTTAAGCGATTAAAGGCCATATTTTGCTCCGGAAAGGAAACAAAACAGCCTGAAAACTTATGCACTAGGCTAATTAAAGTTGCTGATTATAACTGTAAAGTTCCCAATTTATTATGATGCTTCATTGAAGAGTTATGCCTGTTAAGAGGTAGCGGCCATTTTTTCAATGTTCCTAAAAAGTGCGGTTACACCGTTTAAAAAGCTTTGTAATCTTGTGAATAGTTGAGTATTGAACTCAGCGTCCATAAAAACCCCAATACACAAGTTTTCACATTTTTTTGAAAAATTTTGAAACGGCAGCTTTTTCCACATTGACACCATATGTTTCAAGTTTCTACCGTAATCCTACAGTAATGAAGAGAGATGGGTAATTCGTTCTATAATGCAAATCTAAGTTGAAGCCAGCTCTACGAAACGGTGCCTAAAGCAAGGCAAAAGACTTCTTGGGAAGAGAGATATTAACGATCAAACGTTCGATACATTTTTTTGGGACACCCTGTACTTTTCCGTCTGCATCTATCAGTGTAATTCTGAAAAATCGTACGATTGCACAGAATGATTGTTGAAATAAGAACTACATTGTGAATCTATGAACGTGTGGTAAGATTTTCTTATTAGCAATGAAACACTGCAGTTGCTATTTCACGTCGCTAATCTCTTCCCTATATACCATTATATTATGAAAATACAAAAAAACAGAAACAAGCTGTTACCGCTAATGTTACAAAAATTAACACGTGCTATGGTATCTTGATTGGTTCGATAACTGTTTCAGACTCCTTCCTCTACAAACGATATATTGATTTAGGTGGTATCAACCTTGTAGTCAACACAAATGCCAACGCTAATTCGGATTCCAATGGTAGGAATGGTCAGTCAAACCCTCCAAGACCAGCGCCTCGACCATGTCCAAAGTGTCGACTCGGCTACATAACGCGTGGTCAGGCCCGATTCCGTGAGGTAAGCTAGCAGAGAGAAAATAGTTCGGACGGTTTAAGACTTCTTTTATCGTAAACGCTCACATTTCTTTCACTTCACAAGCTCTTCAAAGGACGGGGGGGGGGGGGGGTGGGAAGGGAGCATGACTACTTCGCACTTATTAATGTGGACGAGTGACCAATCCTAACTCTCTTCCATTTCTGCATATTTCGAAGAAGCACGGAGAGAGAGAGAGATGGCGGAATGATATGACTGGAGTAAGAAAGTTGGAACAATTCAAAGCCGGTAGAAGGGTTTTTTATTATTTTTGAAAGTGGGCAAAATGACGAGAGTCATACTGACTCTCAGTTTAAGTTTTGTTAAGTTTTATCTAAATGAAATTCATTTTTTAAGTTTTTGGCATAAACTACACGACTTCCTTTTCTATAGTCAAAACTTTTGCCATCCTTCGAGCAAAAAGACCTGTTTATCGCAGCATTTAAAGTGATCTGTATAGAAAACGTAGCACAAATGTGTTAATTCCAAATGGAAAGCAACTACGATTAGTTTTTTCAGATGTGTATCAAAATATTGGCGTACTCGACAATATGCTGCACATGTCTTCTTCCACTAAAACTGCTCAATACTAACTATGTTGATAAATGCTCCTACTGTGGAGAGGAATATGGTTTCCGTGGCGAATTATTTGAGAAACCAAAGGCACCAAAGATGTGAGGACTGACACTCATGGTTAGATACGACTCATCTTGTCCATTGTGTTATGATCATTAGGAGTGCGATTCGGTCGGGAGATTTTTTGAATGGTTCTTAATTTACTAATTTGTATCTGCATGCTCACTATCCTATTCACTATCGGTGCTATAATATATCAAAAAAATCTGTACTATAGTCTGCTTTTAACGGTTGTTGACTATTGTCAACAACTCCTCAGTGTCATGTACCTCGGGATTTTTGTCATAAATAGTTGAGAATTTTTTGCCGAGCAGCAGAATTAATTCAAAGATGGTTCTTCAGGCGCTGCTTGGTAGAATGCTTTTGAAGTAAAGCAATGGTGGGGGGCCAAGGAAGAGGACTACCCTTCTTGCCCCTCCCCCAAGAATGTTCAAGAAAAAAATATGTTGTTTTCATGGTTATGGCGGAAAACAACAAAGTTCATTCAGAGCTTTTCCCCACCAAAAGTGTGGAAGTGGTGTAAATTACCGCCGATATAGAAAAATAGCAAAAGCACACGCCATGACTTCTTTTTTAGTTGTTGGAAAAGTACAATAAAGAGCTTTTTTGGCATAAAGGTTATTTCATAAAAAAAACTGGAGCCTATCGTAGGGCTGCAAGTGTTGTATTAAAAATTATTATCAAATGTCAAATTATCAATTATCATTGCACTATTAAATTACCAATAGATAATTTTATAGTGCAATCTATTGATAAAAAACAGTGCAGTGATAGTCTAGCAAAATGCACGAAAAACCTGGACCAAAAAAAGCCGATGTGTCAGAGTCATATGCATTAATAATAAGCTGGCAAATTGTTTAAACACTTCGAAAAGGGCAATCAAGCTTTGACTGGACTAGATGATTCAGACATGCTCTGCAACGTTCGGTAATCCAATGAGCTAGCGTTAGCCGAGAAGATTAGATCCAAGAAATATTGCTGATCTCAATGCTTGAGTAGGAAACGGTAGTTTGGTATCTTGGAAACATTGATTGACACTTTGAGCTAGGAGGCTTGCTTGTACGCTGTAGGTTTGTCTAGTCGAAAATTGTCGAGATGACCCCAATTTTTTGCTATTCTTTGGTTTCGAGTGACGGGGAGACGAATTCTCTCGGAAATTTTTCTTGTCGCAGGTTTTACTCAATGCGTAAAATTTACAGAATCATCGCAAGTGCAAACACTTCTTAAGCATAGTCCTTTAATTCATGTTGACTAATTTCTCTTCACAGCGCATTGGAAAAGCGATGGGCGGAAAAGCGGAGGTGACTGGACTAGACACACTCGTTGGTAATATTACCAAACTGTCATCGTGTGCTTCAAAAAGTTTATTGCAATGCTATTCATTAGGATCCATCGAGCTTCATTTCTTTTTCTCTCCATTATCAATACTTTTGCTGCACTATGATTTCCATTCGAAGCCTATTCGTCACTGATTTTGTTCACGTCCACCATCATTGCTCAATGGAAATTCACTAAACTTCAGAACTAATAAGGATATGAAAGAGGTGCTAAAACAATCGCACCAGACATGATAAGCTACTTCGCATTGCATCGCATTTGCGTCAACCGTAGAAGAACATCCAGAAACATTCATTGAATAGTCCATTGTAGAGTCGAATAAATGAAAAAACCTTTATTTGAATATTTGTTTATTCGACGGAGAGAAAAACTTTTTCGAAGTTTTATTGAATATTCGACTAAGTTTATTTTCGATCGTCGATTGAACATTCGAATAAAGGTCTTCTACATTTGTTCGAGTTTAGAATAATCAGATAAATGCACTTTCCTGAATATTGGACTTTTCTAGTCTGAATAAATCATTCGAGTGTGATTATTAACATTCGGTTCCAACTATAGTATTTTATAGCTTGAGCGAAAAGACCATTGATCCACAGACGATGCACAAGGGCGGCTTTCGTTTCTCTACCCCGCATAGATAGATTTTAACATTGAGACAACGTGACAACATGATGGGTCATGAGTCATGGTTCTAATCATACATCCTGTCTATCATGGTGCAAGAAGGAGCACTGCTGTAAAAAATTCTTATCTTTCTGATCTACGACATTAAGACTTGCCTTTCCAGATCAGGTTGGCAAATTCATATCAAATTCTTACATCTAATGGCATTTCAACTAGATAGAGTTTTACGGAAAATTTTGAATATCATTCTTGAGTTTTCCTATACATTTTCCCTACATTCGTACGAGAGTCACATCAGAAGAAAAATTTTCGAAAATTATCATATTTTTTACGATACCGTACCTCTAACTTTTAAGAACCAAGAAGCATCAGACTGCTGCTACAGAAGGGATGTGCTACTGCATTCTATGAGAATTGTAGAAGACAGTAGCAAAAAGACAGCGAATTCATTCCTGAATATAGGATATCCAGCGAATAAATTCGAGGACTAAAGTGAAAATTCAAGTATGCTTAAGAGATTGTTGGAGGTTGCTGGTTGTGCGTGCTTTTGCATTTATCAGTTCTGAGTAGAGTCACATTGGTCATCTTCCAAACAGGGAAGGTATTTGACGCAAATTAACTAGCAATTTGTACACCATAATGGCCGCCTTGAAATGCTGATTACGAATATGCTTTCTTCATCTGCTTATCGATCTTATGAACAAACTTACAGGCATTTGTTCAGGCATAAATGGCATTGAATTTACTTGCATTTTGCGGAACTAAGGTATCAGCGTGCCTCAAAACTACCACCAATGTTTTTTGTGCACCATACATATCAGACTCCAAGCATGTGAGTCTGGAGCAAATTCGCATTTGCTGCGAAATTAGGGTCATTTAGACACTCACTGACTATGCTGCAAACAAGGAAATGCCCCAAAACTTGTTCAATCCGATAAGCAGATATAGAAGACCGTTATGATTAGCACTCAAAGACCATACGAATGATATATAACTCATAAAAAAAGTCCACTCCGACACAAATGCCTTTCCTCGCAAGGATGAAGCGACTGCGGTTTTTACGAAGCTCCTAGGGTTCTCTGAGAATTAGAAAGAAAAAGTGCAAGAAAATTGTCTGCCAACCTAATAATTAGATCACATATGATTCTCGATGGTATGCTTTGCAGAGGATGGCTTGTTTATTACCATAGTCTACTAAAACTTCCGTGTTGCCTCCCTCCAGCGTGACTTCCACTTCAAAAAAATTAATTGATGCCTTGATTGCTGTAAAAGCGCTTGAACAGCATACATTAGCGAACCTTGGCATTCCGATTTTGTGTCAAGCACGCTCACGCCGTCAACTTTTCTTCATTTTTTTTGGAAAACTTCCTGGAAAGGTGCTGCATCATATTCTGAACTTGTGTAATGATTTATGCAAACCCCATTTTTCTCAAAATGCACCAGTTCTTCAAAATCTAACTCTAATATACTTTATTTGCTAATTGTGTCAAATTCATAAGCAAGTATTGCTTTCCAGTAATGTATCAAGTCGTTTCATAAGTTCGCAGTTCATAAGCTTTCATGAACCAGTAAAAATGCAGTAATTTCCTGGAAATTCAGTCAGTTCCTTTTACCAGGGCTCGGCACGAGGTGGCTAGTTGAAAATACAAAAAAACGAAGTCCCCTTGACTTCTGCGAATTTTTACGAAATTCCCTTTGACCCTACACCGTAATCCTTAAGAAACCTTCAAAAACGAAACGTCGACTAAAAAACGTCGCAAACTTCGTGTCTCAAAAACGAAATTCCCTTTGATTTTGTCCCAAAAACGATATCCAGCTTGCTTGTAAGCCACCTATGCCGAGCCCTGCTTGTTACGCACATCTGTCACCTTGCCGTCATATTTTTGACTCCGTTTTTTGAAACAGTCGGTCCGGTACAAAAACGTCGTCAGTCACCTGCGCCTGAGATCTTTTTGATAAATGAAACGCATATAAACACCGTTTGAATGCTTTTTGCAGGAATCGTGACAAATAATCTGAAGGGGCGAGGAATCTGAAAAGTACAAATGATACCAATGTAAGTCCCGGCCAGTGTTGCAGGACAGTTTTTAGTTTCCCGTAGGGGATCATGTTTTGCAAAAATCGCCGGGATTGTTGATTAGGCCTTTTGTGCAGTAGAGGTTTGCTTGGACGATATAGTAGGGTTGCATACGGTCTGATCAACCGTTTTGTTCAGGTCCAGCAATATTTAGTGCAGAACGGCTTACGTGTCTCACGAAAAGTCTTTTTACGAGACATTCTTTTCCACACTAGGTGTTTTAAAGCAATCCTTACAATTCTTCTTTTCCCAATATTGACGTGCAAACGCCATTTTAGATGATCGACAAAAATTTCATGCAGACCCCTTCTATTTATGAGAAGATATGAGCTGCCAAAAATGCTTAAATTTGCCTTTCAAAAATCCTGTCTTTGGAAGCTGAAAAATATAATGATCAGCTTTTCTTATGAAACAATGAATTTTTAAAAAAAAAGCACGACCAATTTTTCTCATTGTACTCATCTAGTCGTAAATCAACCGCTTCTCAAAGAAAGGAAGACCAAAATGAAGACTACGGACTTATGGGGCGATCTGGTGTACAAAAACGAAATATAAAGCACAATATCTATCATGAACCCTTAAACATCACATTTCACAACTCCACCTAGGAAATTTATTTATATTTAATTATTTATCTGTCTATCAGTATTATTGTTAATTGATGCACTCGACTTATTTTATTTATTTATTTATTTATTTATTTATTTATTTATGAATACACTCAAGGTGTGCCGTAAAGAAGAAAAGGCAAAACTATTTTGTGGTCGTAAATTATTTTAACTAATTTGTCTAGGTCATTCTTCCTAAGTGATCCTTTTCTAAGTCACTTACATCCGATTATCTGACATTTGGGCATGCTATATTGGTTTTTCTTGCTTTTCTGCGCGTTAACCATGGTGAAGAAAGAGCGTTGTGCGGGGTTTTGTATTCCTATTTGATTACGCTTCCCAATGCTATTTTTTTCAATGTCGCAATAGCAGAAGAAGTTCTTTGGAGGATAATA